GTCATATGCCATTAAAATGTACAATTTCGCGATTTTAACGACGGTTGAATATGTTATAAATTGGACTTAAATCAAATTGAAGCACTTCCACAAGATGCCAACTGAATCATCTGATTTATGTGCCTCTCGGCTTCAATTATATGCGAAAACATTTTGAAAGTTTCATCCGGTTTGAGCATGGTGACACTCCAGGACGCTTATTCAACGAGCCGCACACCTCAAGGTCAACTTTCGAAGACCAACTTGTGTGTTTCTTGGACTATGTTTTCAGTTCTTCCAGTATTGTAGATAATGCGTGAGTTGTTTGTAGCCAAATAATTTATCAATTTACTTAGGCTAGAATATTTTCATTATTTGCATATTTACTGTGCACTGAATGAAAAGAGATAAGCAATTTACAATACATGTGCTCAACTTAATAAACAATCTCATGGGACAGGAATCATCTTTTAAAAAGAATGAATTCCCATGTTGTTTTGTTTACACTATTTTCCAAATCAGAGCTGTAACTTTTGAACTACTACAAATTTTATCGCGACACTCAAGGTCGCGCAAATTCAAACGGTGAAAGAAAAGAACTGAGAACATAGATGTTGGAGATAAAGTCGGTAACTCATGGCCATCTACATATAAGTATGATAATGCAAGCTGAAATGGATTTCCAAAGTGGGGGTGATGTTGCACGAGTTTGGTCACTACCTGTAGTTTCTGATAGGAGGGAGGAAATCCTCAAGAGTTATTCAAGTTTTTTTTCAATGCATGCACACACCCAACTAGCTAGAACTTTCAGGAACTGATGATTTCTATCATTCCCATTGGTGTTTGTCACTCTCCGGTAGTGGTTGTCACATTTGTGATCGATCACAGCCGTACATACCACGCATACAGTCCCGAGTATAGGAGTGAGAAGTGAACAAAACAAAGCTCATTCAGATTTGACCGAGCATATAAGTTTGATCATCATCATCATCATCATATTAACCACAACAACACTAGCACGACTGCTGTCAATCACAACTCACACACGATTATGGTGTCAATTGTTTGCCAGTTTAACAATCAGAGACGGACTGTTGAACTATGCATGCATACAAACACATTCGACCGGCGGAGCGAGCGAGAGAGAAGTTGATTTTGATTCCATGAATGCCCGACCGGGTTTAGGATTTCGATCGATTTTTGTTTTCGAAAAAACAAACATTCAGATTGGTCACGGCGTACACAAACAAGTGCCTATCCGAGATAATCTAGCTCTACATGATTGACACACACACACACACACAAACAGGAACAGTTTTCCGGGGAAAATTTATGGCACTTATCCAATTCGGGATATGCCTAGTTTGCGAACATCGCAGATGATAAGTAGTCAGAGAAAAATATGAAAAGAAAGTGAGAGATCGGCACACGCACACGACTGGTGCCAATGGAACCATGGGTTGAAAAAGAACGCGGATCAATCGGTGGAGATTGTATAGCGATGCGGTTTCATTCGCACAGACATGATTGAGTGTGTTATCACTAGTGATGCTAATGATCACCCAACCTTAGTTGTTCCTATATTTTATCTTGTTTTACCTTGATCTAAACTAGCATTCATTTTCGTTTTTACTTCCTTCTGACTGAAAATACGAAGATACAATTCTCAGGAAGGGGAAAGCGGCCAATCAAAGGGTTGCCACTTACCACACACCGTTGGGTAAGTAGGTGAAAGGTTGCAAAAAACAGGATTAATGGTTCTACAAAAAGTGAATTCAATTCATTGGCGTTATCCACGAAGTACAGGTTATATTGATGGATTGGCTAGAAACTGAATATCCATTTCTAACAAATCGGCATTGTTAGCCGACCGATCTAATTCCATATCACTGATGTATTCCGGATCCCCGAGATAGGAGCTTCGAACCGTGCAACAGTTATGTGAAGTTAATGATAAACAGCTTTTCTATCGTCCACCTGAGCATCACACAGGTCCTATTGGGAAACTCATAATCAGTCTAATTCATGGTTACAGACAATGGGCAATATGGCTGAGTGTCATTGAACACGGACTCTGGTCTACGCAAATCTAGTTTAATCTAGACCCCGTGTTTTGTTACTGCCCTCAACTTTTTTATAGTTCCATTAACTCCTACTCAATTTTTTGTGGAATGTTTTTTTCGTGTGGGGGGGGAGGGGGAGAGGAGATCAGGTTTGTTTCGTATATTTTTCATGCGAAGTCCTCTGGTCACAACACACCGCGAGGAAACACTGGAAGACTAAGTAAAGATCAGATCGGTTGTTAGGAATCATCAGCAGTGCGCATATCCACAGAATCCCACAAGGATTAATCGAACTTGAACCCGATGTGGGCGGTGGTGGCCCGGTGGTAACGTCACCAATTATCACCCCGGAGGACGAGTGTTCGAATCCCANACCACCACCGCCTGACTTTCCCCTTTGTGTGTTGAATGGCAGCCCCGTTTGATTGGCCGCTTCCCCCTTCCTGAAAATTGTATCTTTGTATCATTCAATAAAAGGAAGTAAAATGAAAAAGAAAAAAAGAAAAAGACTAACCACTTGAAATAGCCGGGCCGGTTTTTCACGAGGTTACTCCAATGACGTGGTACNCTTAGTCATCTGTCATTGTTAATGAAATTCCGAAAAGATAAATCCCCAAACCGAAAGTACAAGATTGATATTTGCTCAAGGTGAACACTGCTAATACTAGGAATTGGGTTTTCATAACCGTGAACAGTAGACTGACGTATAACCACAAGGTTCATTTCCGTATCCGTATCGATCAGTACACTCCGGTGTGTCAGGAAAAAGAACAAAATTCTGTTTCATTCGATTTTCCCAGTTGAACAGCTTCAAGTTTGCGATAAACATCCTCGCCAGCGTATCATGATAAGTGTGCTTGTCTCCCCGCACATTTATATGTACAGTAGTTTCGAAGGGGCCTGGAAGCCTCCCAAGTGCTGGGGAATGGACAACGTTTGAACTCCCTCCAGTGAAAGTCCCTTTGGCTTATCCATGTCTTATTTCAACTGATAATTGCTGATTTTCGAACAGTCAGTTGGCATAGACGCTTGTAACAACAGCCACCAATGTTATGCTGTTAGTAAATTTTCTCCAGGCTTCCAGGGGATTGCAGTCTATATCAGGGGGAGATCCACTGGATTCCACGAGCCAGGTCCATGGCAGTCTAACTGATTGACTCCATGCCCGGTAATCGCAGCTCGGAGTCTGAAATGTCGGTTGTCAACAAGGTTTCAGTTACGGCAATGAGATCCCATCGACCGGTCCGACAACGCAGTTCCACTTCTGGAAACTGACTGCAAAAACCCTGAGCATTGGTATAGAAACAGTTCAGTCGTTGTAGGTACAGAAAGCCCTTGGGGTTTAGGGGCGTAATTTGGCCGACCTCGTCGTCGGCCGGCAGACGTTTTTTGCCCTAATGTTTTTTGGATTTGGTCTGATGGAGTCGGAGCATGAAGTTTGCAGTGTTTCATGCGCAATGTAATTGATAATTTCGACTGGAGGGACAATTTTTCGGTCCTGAATTCAGTATTGGTCTTACGCGTGGTCCTTTGGGCCCTCTGGTTCTGTGTTCATACCATGACTGGAGAACTGTGCTTAACATTTCTGGTGTCCCAAGAGTTAATTTCAGTATTTGCGGACCATCTCCGCGATGGTTGGGAGAACGCGGAAGGCGTTTAATGGCCGTGGTAGATACGTTGCGGCAGTCTAACAATTCCTGAATGAAGCGTTTTTTGTACAAATCCTTTTCTCGACAGTTGGGTTTATCGGCTTCGGGGATCTGTGGCACTCCGTGTATGAGAATCACCCGTGAGTTGTCTGCATCGCTCCGTCGGTGTACACGCTCGATCCAAGGTCTGTCCGGTAAAATTCTGGTATTGCTAGACCCATCTGCAATGAGAAAACTAGAAAGAACATTTTCAACGTCTTCTTCACTGACCAACGTCACACGAAGTAACCTAGGTTCTCCAATGTACGGCGATGTCGGTTGGTGCCAGAGACGTGTCTGGTTCCCCGTTTTGGCTTCTACACCCATTCGGGCACACACCTCTGTCCAGCGATTCAGCTCGTCCTGTTGCCTCTCTCTCAATGATTGACTTGTGGGTTCTGGAAGATTTGTACAAATTACCGTGAGTGTAGTGTTGCCACCTACTCTCTTGTTCACTTGTGACGGTACAGTAGCTTGCGACTGATGTTTAGGTGACGGTACTTTGACTACAGGTACCGAAACTTCGACCGTTGGTTTCCTCGTGGTTATTGGAAAGAAAGTGATGCGCGCCACTTCTTGATTTATTTTGTTAAAAGCACTTCTCGGACGTTCTGACGGCTTTGGGTTTAGGAACTGAGGGTCTTTATCCTCTCTTCGAGAGAAGCAATTTGTACATTTGCGATGTCTTCGACGGTTGCTAATAGGTTTTCAAATCTATGTGTGATATCTGATGTGCATTTGATAATGGAGCATTCCCCACAGATCCAGAAATAATCTGTCTGTGAGACTAATAGTTTTATCCATTTTACCGATAGTTTAGCACACGAGGGATGAATGGATCGTATACAGTTCTCGCATGAGATTCCGGTCTTGATTTCTTTTCCACACCGCCAACGGGTAGAAACATTTATATAATACGATATGGATACGAAACGTTCTTTCTAACTAGCCAGGAGGGCAGGATTGAATATTATACTCACATGTGTAATGGATCATATGATAAAGGAAAACTTTAAACAATTTAGCTCAATTTACCGGGCAGCAGAGTGGAAGCATCAATCGCAAAAGAAACGTACGGAGGCACACACACACACACACACACGCAACATTGGTGGCTAAATTCCAGAGGGATAGCTCTATTGTGTGTTTCACGCCCATATTAAATCGGGGGTAGGAGATGACACGATACGGATGAATAAGGGTCTAAGGTACGGCGAGCGTTCGAGTGTGCCACATCATATACAAAACAAAAAAATCCGCCACAACTTACTGATACTAGACACCTCATCCACATCATCGTGATCCGCGTTCTCGACAATATCCCCGTGCTCGTCAATCATTTGCCATGGTTTGCTCACCTTAGACAAACTTGAAAGAAAGCTGAAATGACAGGGAACAAGAAAGCACAAAGATATTTGTTATTCTGACATTTTTTATCGTTCACGTGGATTCACATGCAAAAATGTGTGTGTGTGCTGTTATTGTTCCATCGTGTCCCGTGTGTGTGTGTGTTACACAGCAGAACGCATAGTTCACAAACCGTGATCAGCTTATCGATTTTCGATTCGGAAATGCGACCTGTTCAATAGTTTGTATATTATAGACGGGTAATTAGTCGGGTCATATTCCCTATAGCACACACACACACATCACAAATGCTGATTCCCTGAACGCGTTCAAGTAGTTTGCATTGGAATAAAATAATAATAATAATATGAAAGAGTTCAAGTAGTGGAATAATGGTATGAAAAAATCAGGTGACTGGAAGCGAGCATCAGTCAAGATCATAAAACAAAAAATGATCAAGCAACGTCACGCAATCGGTGCGCTCATTTTACTTTATGGACGTTGCGGAGAAGCCTCCGAAAGTGTCAGTATAGTCGGAGATTGGTGTCTCCGGTAGCGGCCATTTACCCCTCCCTTTCACATCGCGAAACGCTCCCACACGATTATTATATTATTATATTTCACACCTGTCTGAGGCCAGAATATGTGCCAAGCAAATCATGGTACAGCTACTTTTACTTTTGAGTGGCTAACTCCTGCGGGAGTATAGGTCGGCTTGAATATCCCTAATGTTGGTGGCCCATGCACGACGATCGGCAGCAAGATTTATTTTTTCATTTTCACACACGTCTGAATCCAGACTGTGTGGCAAACATCATTTTGCAAAAATTCTTATGAAAAATTAAAAAAACATTCCATGATTTGCATGTAAGCGGAATACTTCCAGGTTGCACAGGCCAAGGAAGGTGAATTTTCTTGAGGAATTCACAACCGGAGCTTTTGGCTAGCCAAAGCCTGACCCGCAAGGCAGCGGGGCCGAGTGCAAAAATCGCAATCCACTGGGAGCCGATGTCCAGTTCATCGGATCATACGCTGTTTGGACGGGGTCAAACTTCCAAGGTGCCCAATACACCTCGATACCCGGTTGAGCCGGTGACCACTGCCACAACGAGGAAGATGTGGGTGTAGTTCGTACGCCTCCTCCTGGTTGATTTGGAATCAGGGCTTTGTGCCAACTCTCATAGATGAACTATCAGTGATCCACCAACTTGGTTACAGCCCCAAGTATCAGCTATTCGTCCCTTCACTTTGGTTGGAAGCACCTACGCCACGAGAAAGCAGTGAGTGGGTGGTGGTGGGTGAGTTGGACATCGGCTCCCAGTGGATTGCGACTTTTGCACTCGGCCCCGCTGCCTTGCGGGTCAGGCTTTGG